TCTTTTTTTTATTTACCACTTTTTAACACATTACTTTTGTCACATATGTATTTTCCTCTTTGTGTTTTTTGCTGGTGGTGTTGTAACTGATTACTCATAAAATGTGGTTTGACCCCAATTAACTGCTCACGTCAACCGCTGTTCTTCTAACCGGGATGCCGCTCTATCTAAGCTATGGGACTTTGAGCTAGAGCCAACGAGCTATTTTTATTATTGTATTTTTTTTTTTTTTGCTACGACGCGTCAAGCGCCTGTCTTGCTGCAGTCGGGGGGTATCTAGTGCCGGGTAGAGCGTCAGTCTTTTTATTATATTTTACACATATATTTTTTTGTTTTTTGCAGCTATCGTTTAGCTCTGTTGTCTTCGCCCCAGTGGGGTTCGAACCCACGTCTGCATCTCTCCGGGTTGCTGTTGTAACCTACCGAGCTATGGGGCCACGACTACAGTCTTTATCCTTCTGTTAATGGCACTTGTGAAGGAATCTTCTATGAGGGCGTATTCTGTACATCACTTTAGGGGTGGTGTTTCGGTGATTGGCGATTTCTTTAAGGTGCTGACGAAGCGAAATGGAAAAATTGTGAATGAAACCGAAAGGAATCTTGTCGTATTGAAGGTCCAGATACGACTATTTAAGTTGGAGCTCAGTTTTTCCAGCGAACATAATGTCCAGTAAGGAATTTTAACATTTTGTCAAGAGCTTAGAGCTAAATTGAAACATTTTTGTACAAGAAAAAATCTCCTTTTGATCTTTTTTAACTTTATATTTACTATAGTAAAGAAGAATTGGACCTGGAAGTATTGCAGTAGCTGAAAAGTATTTACAAATGGACCTGTTATATCGGAATTTGTGGATTTCATATTTCATTTTGTACGCCATAGTAATCGTGCTTGTCGTTCAGCAGTTATGCGGACTTGAAAGTTGTTATTTGTTAATGCAATCAAAAAAGAAGCATGAAACATTAACGAGTACTATCATGGGTAGGCAATTTGGTTGAGAGAAGTAAACGTGAAAACGGTAGAAGGAGGAAGGCCTAACGGCATGCAACAAACATACGTCAAAAGCTGCATGGTATCTCTTTGGAAGTCGGCACAGGAAAACAAGCGAGTTTTCATAATTTAGGGTCGCATGTTACAGTTCTCCAATGTTTCTACTTCAAAGTCCCAAATCATCTTTTTCGTATTCATGTAAGTTTTTGATAAAGGTAAACGTGTACATCATGGATGTCGTGCACCATTATCTGATGATAAACTATCCACTTCCTGAGAAGTACACATAGCTTGTATGTGGTATTGTCATTCCGAACGATGCAGTGAAATTTCCAGTGGAGGATTTGAAATTGTTAGTTATCAATTTTTTTGCTGTTTTTTACCCTCCTTTGAAAACTTTTTTGTTTCATGATGTTATTTCAATGATTTAGACCAACTCCTACGAAATTACCATCAACAAGCGAAGATAACGAATATATGCAAGATTTGGAAAGTGCAGTTGGCGTCTGTCATAGTGAGGGATCTAGTAAAAGGTCAAAGGGTAAAAAGAAGACGAAACTATCAGCGAAAAAAAGAGAAATAGGTGAAGGCGAGAAAGTTCGTAAGCGTCTCAGTGTAAGTTCACTTACTGGGACATTGTTGCCTTTTTTAAAGAAAATCAGCTGTTTTTTCTACCCAAGATATTAAAAAGTATCATTGTTTCTTATACATTTCTTTTTCCTATATCTGCCGGAGTGGCAAGATGGAGCTTAAAAGCAACATGTTTTTTGGGATACTTTTATCTGTTTTATTAATGGGAAACTTTGCTGAACTGCTAAGTTTAATTCTATTAGGAAAGTTTTTATTGAAAGGTGTTAACACCGTAAGATGAAAAACATTTTTATTTTCAGACAAGACTTTTTAATTCACGTTCGTTGAAACGTGTTTCTGAAACTCTAGATGCGATTCAGAAGGCTCGCGCTGCAAAGAATTTTGAACATCAGTTCAACTATGCTCTTACACGGACCTAATCTGTAGTCTGTCTTAAATGGCCAATATTAGCTTTGTTTATCAAAATGTTGTTTTGTTCAACGTAAGGTGACATAAATGAGGATATCTTGAAGATTGTAACTGCTGATTAACTGATTGAAGCGTTGTTTTCTAAACGTTTGTTTTTTATATTTATTAATCTTTAGTGGGTTGTTTAATATTTGCAATGAAGGTTTTTGATTAATTGTATGTTTCTTCTGCAACCAGTGTACCAAAGAGCATTGTGTGATAGATAGTGGTGCTTATTTATTTATATTTGTGTTGAATGTCGCTTTAAATTTGTGGATATAATTTGTTGTTAAATTCGTGCTGCTAGTTCTGTATTTCCTAATCGCAAACTATTACTGTTATTTTTTTCTGCAGGTCCATTTAAATTTGTATGACCTAAGGTCTATGTGATTGAACAGAATAAAGTCCATCTGTGCCCTTCTTTAGCGGAACTGCTGATTACAGATAGAAAAAGAGAAATTAATGCTTTTGATCAGTTTCATCGTTTTGGTATTTATTCAGTTTTGGGAAACGTTTTGCAACCACAAATCTTGGCATACGACGGTATATTATACTGAAACACTCGGCGTAGATTTGCTCCATTGTCAATAGGTTAACTCTTTGCTGTCGGTTTGATGTACTTGTAACGTCAGGGTACAGTCGATGGGCTGCAGTTCGGTATCTGTTGTGGATGTTCAAAAGGGCTCAGGGTTTCTTGATACAAATATATTCCCTGCTTAAAAGTAATGGATAATTCATTTTCTTTAAGCAGAGTATTCTTTTATTATTTTATTTCGTTTGGCACACAGCAAGCAAGACGACTATAGTATCATTAATAGTTTAATCGTTGATACTGCGGTTTTTATACTGCAAGAAATGGGTTTTATTCTTCTAGTTGCTGTTGTTAGTAGTGGTGGTGGTGGTGGTAGAAGTGCTTTTTGAACCACACTGTTTGCGTGTTAAAAATTTCACGTAATATATGAGTTAGGGCGTTTCAGTGTTAACTATTGGTGGTTCATCAGAATTCACTTTCACTTTGTCTTCTTTTTAGCAACGAGAGCTTTGTTAAACGCTATGTCGTTGGATCAGATTGCAAACGTTGATTTGGATGTCGGCGATTTCAAGTACATCTTTTTGTCGTTATTCTTTTTAAAGGGACATTTCCTCTTTCTTTTGCATATCATTTCGAAAATATTACTTCTATTGCAAAATTGGTAGACTTTTGCAATTGAAATTTCAGGCATCGATTTTTGCTTTTGACTCTTATGCACATTACTAATCCAAAGGTTCTTCTAAAAAAAAAAATTTTTTTCTCCTCTGCTGTCAGATGTTGGCATCGGCTTTTTTTTTCTTTTTTTGTCTGTCACAGTTATACTGATACCCTTAAGATGCTGACTGTTGTCTAAAACAGTTTAATGTTGATAAATTATGAGATAAGTTATTTTTGAAACGCTATGGCAACACAGCAGAATATCACATACTAATAAATAAAATAAAGTTATATAAAAAAGATGCAGCAAAAAAAAAGATTTTGTTTAGGAAAGTGCCTGTACATAAATCATAGCTTTTCCATTCGAAATTTGCACCATGAATTATATAACAGATAATAAAAGACAATTTCAATAGACAACTTTGACAACCATCAGATATGTTGGTCAAATATAGAAGAAACGAGATCATTTTCGTATGAGCTAAAAACCATTCAAAGTTAACAGCAATCATCAAATTG